TCACATAGTTGATTGTATATGTCACCTGACATTTCAGTAATGCGTTCTGCCACTGTTTTTGCTGAAAGACTGATGTTGCCAAACTGGCCCTTCTTTTCTGGACAGACTCTATCTGCAGCCTGCAACATGCATTTTTTTATAAACTCGCCTTCTGTGAATGGCTTTTCTGCCTTTGCAGTCATCTCACTCACTACGTAGCTGACTTCAACTGCTGCATCATTGTCTTTGCAAGCTTTCTTGAAAAAAATTGTTGCTTCTGTAACATGTACATGTTTTAAGATTGGCAACTCGGTCCTCCCTTTCCTTTCCCAGGTATTTTGCATACACTTCAGCGTGTCTAGTTGAGTAATGACGTTTGATATTATATTCTTTGTACACTGCAACTTTCTCTGTGCATATAAGACACGTTGCATTGCCCCTGTGCTCAACAAAAAAATATTCCATCTCCCACTTTTCTTGAAATTGCCTGTGCTCATCGCTAATCTTTCTTTTCACAGCAGGTTTTGAGAAAGACATGACTCGGTCTGGGTGGAAAAAAGCAACATTACATATTTAGTTACATGTATTAAAACATAAGAATATAATATTCCTACTTCTTTTGTACCTTTCACTGGATGACAGAATTTATTTTCTTTCCACTAGACTAGATTTCACTTCGAAGTCACTTTTCATTCAGCTAACGCTGTTAATTCACAGTTTTAGTTTGGCTAATTTCTCTGCAAATACCACCGGAAGCAGTTACGAGCCCGAGGGAGCTGATTTAAGGAAAAAATATATAAATAAATAAATCAACGTTGCCCTGCTTCCGACATTTGATAATAGGTCCATATGAAATATATTAAATAACTTGTGTTATACATTATATTTTATTTATTTTTATTAGGGAATGAACAATGTTTTATTTTGAAAAATGACCGGATTCTTTCAATTACGTCGTCTTTCCCTCACGCTTCTCTTATGTCAAACATGGATGGAACACGTTTGTTTTTGCCTCGTACTTTTTGCTAACATGTCGCCAAGCCTCTGGAATAGATCGCTGCAGTTTTGTGGTGCTTGCATATTGATGGGACAGCTGTGTTTGCCACTGAGTGCGCGTGGATTTCGGCGACGCACAGGTGGAGCTTGGTCATCGAGTTGCCAGCAAATTACGCACCGAGTGTTGAGCAGGTAAACAGACTATCAATGTCTTTTTATTTCTTATTAGCCCCTCCGATAAAGGTCCCATACTTATGAACAGGGGAATTCTGTCAGCGCCTCCTCTGCTCTGATGCTGTGGTTGTGGGAGCGTAAAGTGAAGTGCGCACACGTGTACCACCATGTGTGGTTTGTTTTGGTTCTTCGGAGACGCCGTATGTGCACGTGTACTTGTATTACCAGATCCACTTAGACTCGTTGCTTCACAACTGCTGTAAACTGAGTTTTGGGATGTAAACTGTGTTAATAATCTGTTGTTGTGAATCTGCATGGGCACCGATTGCAGCTTCATCTGTCAGTGCGGCCCGCGGTAGAGGGTACATCTACCGCGGGCCGCACTGACATTATTCTTTGGAATTAAGTGGCGGGCTGCAAAAAATCCTTTCGAGGGCCGCAGTTGGCCTCCGGGCCGCGAGTCTGAAACCCCTGGTCTAGTGTATTCCGATTCCTGACCTAGTCACTGGAGAGAAAGGAAATGGAGAAGAGGCACTAGGTGGCGCCAGCCCGGCTAATTCATGACTCACATGTGAGTCAGTTTAGGCGAGTTTCAGCTGACGTCATTGTTATTAAAAGCCCGCGTTGCATGCTGGGATATTTTGGTCGGAGGCAAGAAACACAGTAGCGTCAAACACAGTGCGTAACCTCGCGTATTTATCCCCGATAATGGTCAATTCCTGCTGCATTATCGGATGCACAAATAGAAGCACGGAAGAAGGAAAATGTCTTTTTTGTATTCCGAGTGAAAAGAACCACTAACGGTGAATTAAACGGCTTTCAAACATTCGCAGAGCAAACGTAGAAGATCCTAACAAACCGTGGACCCCAACAAGTTCAACAACACATCGAGACTCTTGGAGGTTTTCATCTTTTCTGCTGTGAATGGCCCAGGAGTTTCCACCAAGTCATTGTGGATATCGCCCAAGTGAATATTTGTCCAGGTAGTTGGTGATTCAGACCAGAAATTTGGTTTGTTCCAGGCTTTGTAGAGGTTGAAAAGGGTGATTTGGCTCCATCGATGCTTATGACTAATTTCTGGTCAAATGGTCTTGGGTCCTCTGCCGTTAGAGTGGATAAATAACCGGGATCAATACCCTTTACGTGCTTTCTCGCTCCGTCCGTCATGTTGAATTAGTATTTCTTGCCGCTGACCAAAATAATTCCCAGCATGCAACGCGCGCTTTTGTCAACAATGAAACTCGCCTATAGTCACATTTTCTTTGTGTTTTGGTAGTTTTTAAGCAGCTTTACTGTATTTTACCTGAACAAATGACAAACCCAGTTTGGTAGTTTTTTCATTATTGAGATAATTATTCTCATTTTGTTTGATTTAATATTTACTTAAAATGTATAATTTTTGGCATTTTGGTAATTCTTTATGGTTAACATTTGTTGATTATTTGTTACAAAATTATTTGATCTATTTACATTTTTCTTTCAAATAATTATTGCTAATGTTAATCATAAGTTTACTTAAGTAACGTTTAATTTCATGTATTATTTTGTGGTCTATGGCTCCTTATTTAAGACGTGTGCAGGTGCGCCAGGAGAGGGTGGAGTGGAGTTTTTTGACCTCCTGTCACCTATACGTTAATGTTCCCCTTTTTTGGATTCTTTAATTTTTGAGGCATTTTTAAAAGGTGGAAAAAAGGTGCGCAAAGCTTCAACTAAACTATGGCTTCACAAATGTTTGGACCTTACAGTATCCTTCTATTTATTGTTGGCAGGGATAAGATTGGTCAAAAATAGGGACACCTGGGACACTTTCTGTATAAATCTGGGATAAATGTGCTGGGACAGGGGACAATGAGCACAAAACTGGGACTGTCCCGGGTAAATATCAAAGTCTGGTCACTCTATACAAAGTCAGGCATCAAAATTATACATTTACAATAGTAGTTCATCAAATTTGAGCCATTCAGTGCAATATGTATACTTCAGAAATCCTTTGGCGAGCTACATGAATGCTCCAGAGCAACAGGTTGGAGACCTCTGATTTAAAGGGTCCATGTTAATCTGTTTTCTGCTCCGTGTTCTCATGTTTCCTCATTCACACATTTATCACACAAACCCTGCGTAATTAGGTGTAGTTCTTCTCCCAAATGGTACACACTCCACCTTGATTCACCTTATGATGTCATACAAGAAGTGCTCCATAACTCCACACTCCTTCACTAGAATCATTTGGATCATTTCAGCCCTGGAATTGCCGATCTCTATTGAACTAAAGGTAAAAGGAGCTGTTCACTTCAAAACTAGGGCTTTATGACACAACTCTCAGAAACCAGAGGGTAGTTTTGCCATCAAAGTAAAGCTAAGAATAACCAGCATGCCAACATGCACTTCCTGATTGTCAGAAAATAAAACAGCAGAGATATTTTGTCCTCAAGAGCTGCTTATACAATATATCTGTACTGGGGTAAAATAGATTTTGTTCAAATAGATGGAAAAATGAGTATAGGGCTTTTAAAAGTGGGATCAATAACCTGTGACAGGACACTACAGTAGAGTGTATGTGCAGCTTTAGAGAAACAGGGATCACAAAGAACAGCCACTCACCCCAAAGAGTCATATAGTGACTCAAAGGGCTCTTTCTTAAGATGATGTGTTTTATATTTAGATGAAGACAGACTGTAGTGTTATAAACTGTGTCACAAACTTCTGCTTTTTCAGTATATTTTAATAATTTATTGTTTTCTCAGCAGCAGCGGAATTTTACTTTGCTGGTAAGACAGGTGCTCGGTGATATCAGTCCGCCTCTGCCGAGCTTTCAATCAGGAAGTACAACTTCAGCTGCTCACACATAAACCCTGTCAATACTGAACAAATACTTCATTTAACGGGTGTTAACGTTCCTAAGGTTGTGACAGAAGAGAAAATCATAATATAAAATGAAGTGCAAATTTCAAAAATCTAATAAATTAAAGTGGCAGTGTTTTCATAAGATGAGAGAACAGTCATAATCATAATCCACGTAGTCTGACACGCCAAACACAATAATATGCTTCAAGCTCGCACGTGACGTCAAATCTAGGGGTGTGCAAAAATATCGGAATATCGATATATCGTATCATTTAATGTGATGATACAATATCGATATCGTGGGTTACTGTATCGATATATCACCAAGAGTATTTTTAGGTGTGTTTTACTAAATTATTTTGTTACAGAGCTACAGTTTTGTTGCTTGTTGAGTGAAAGGAAACTCATTTATGCGACACATTTGACATTTTTACGGTTTTGATGATTAAAATGTTTGTGTTTCATATGAACTTTGCACAAGAAGTGGTTTAACAAAGACTTTTAATATCACAGCCACAATTTAGCCTTTATTTTTTATTGAACCATATCGAATCAATTTGAAATTATCATATCGAATCAAAAGTGCACTGTATCGAGATATGTATCGTAACGTGGCCTGTGTATCGAGGTATGTACTGTATCGGCAACTTCTTAACCCTTCCAGACCAACGGTATCGTATACGATACCGGCGGACATGTTTTACATAACCATGCATAACTTTTTAACCATAAAAGATAGAGACTTAATTTTTTTCCCCCTTGTATAGATAAGACCCGTGGCTTTGCCAGCATCTTTCCGGCATCATCCTACGTCACACGCACGCTGCGTGGTGACGTAGTGAAAACAGGTGTCCAATAGGAACTTCGCTCTTCGGCGCGTGACGCGCTCCATCCATTTTCATTGGCCCAAACTTTGCCAAAGATTGTTTTAAGTCAAGATAGTTACTCCTCTGAGCGTCTGTGCTCATAGCATTTGATACAGCAGGCCTAAGTACCATTATTTCTCAAGTAAATGGCAAATTACGCATCTCGGTGTGCGTAATTGCGCATCCCTTACTATTTTTATTTGAAAAGTTTTTTTTTACTTGCAAATGATACATAATACACCCAACAGGACGTAAACAGCCTAGTGCCGAGCAATGAATCGGATGCGCGCGGGTGTGAGCAGGTGCGCGCAGATGCGCGCTTGGCGTACACACATTTGTGTGCCAAGGCATTTGTTGTTTTGCGCACAGAGGATAAAGAGCTCCGGGAAGTCTATCAGAAGAAAGAAAGAAAGAAAGAAAGAACGAACAGAAATGGCACGCAAAGCGTCACTTTCCTTGCTGGAAGCAGTGGCAATGGTAACGGAGCCTGGCAGTGACGCCGAGTCCGATGTGGACACTTTTTATACAGATGAAGAGTTGGATTACCTGGAGGATCTGGACCCTATTGAAGAGTAAGTAGCAAATATTTCATAGTTATTTGGAGCAAACATCATGCAACACTTGTAGTAAACGGGCGTAAATACATAATAGTAGCATGCGTAATGCCTATTTACGTAGTTTGGATACAGTTTTATTTGATGCGTGAGGGGTATAATCATTTAGGTGGGGGATGAGATTGTGAACTTCAGACAACTGTTTACCTGTGTTGCACTAGACTTATGACATGTATGTTGTTTTAAATAACGAGCTACAAACTACATGTGTAAAGTGGATGAAGTGGTTTGGGATGTGTGGATGTCCTAATTAGTGAGGTCATAATCTGTTGACACCATTTGGGTGGGGGATGGGGTTGTGCTTTGTGTTTGCCCCTGCTGCACTAGACTTAGACTTGTTGTAGTCCATATGTAATACACAAGTTTTACACAAGCACAAACTAACATTTTTTCCTTTTCTTTTGTTTAGTGCTGAGTCAGAGGATGTTCCTCAGGCTCCTCCAGATTCCCCTGTGCCATTCACTTCAGGTGTCTCCCCAGCTTCATCAGTGTCTACAACCCCAGCCACCCGTCCAGAACCATCAACACCTTCAACACCTACGATCTCCTCTGAGAGCAGGAGGAGGGGCAGGGATGGAGGACATGGAAGATCCAGATCTCCACTCCTCAGTACTTCATCTCCATCACCACACTTACTAACCACACACACCAGGAAGACCGCAGCAGGCAAGGATCATATGGGAGGCTGTCATGTGTGCACTGCTGACAAACACAGGGGAAGAGGCAGTGTACTGCATGGAAATGCAAGGCCTGTGATGTGGCACTATGCCTGGTGCCTGATAGGAACTGCTTCCATGATTGGCACTAGTGAAGGACTTGGACGAGTGCACTTTTTTTTTGTTTTGAGGGCAAAAATGACATTTTTAGAATACCTACAAACTTCATATTTTGCACTTTTGTAGCTAAGACCCTAAACTAAGTATTTATTATGTCTAAAAAGTTGTTTATACATGTTTGCTGTGTGTTTTGAATAAAGGAGTGTGAATATTATTTTCCTTTTTTTTTTTTTCCTTTGTATTTCTAGTTCTATAGCTTTTATTACAGCCATATGACACAACTACAGCATTCAGATTGTGAAAGAACAGGTTGTACTGAAAAAAAGGATGTATAGCACTTCATTAGGGGATAAAAGGGGGAGTTTTAAAAGCAAAATTAGGAAAAAAATCCAGGCGAGGACAAATGTACCAAAAATGCCCTTAGGTCTGGAAGGGTTAATGATACCCAGCCCTAGTCAAATCCCAGGTCCAAGTTAGTTAGTTAGTTAATTTTCTTCGGTCATTTAGCATAATCATGCACCATATTACAATGATTTAAGTGGGAGTCGGAAGATAATCGAACACAGGGAAATCCTTCAAATGCAAGGTTGGTTTTACTTCTAAAATTATTCTATCAACACAGACATTCACATGGACAGTCTGGTGTAATAATAGATTTGTTTCGGGTGTTTTGTGGAGTGGATAAAACTGTTTTTAGTGGCAGGCTAACTATGGCCATTGACATGCACTAGCCTAGCACCAGCGACCTCTGTAAATACAAGAACTGGATGGAATATTTCAAAAAGTGTCTCCACACGTCTCCGGCACTCTGGCTCACTAGGAGATTAGGTCCTATGTCCAAAATCCTGCACTGTCCCTTTAATGTAAAAAGTGAAAAATGCAAAGGAAAGCTCATTGTGTTAGATTAGAAGAGGGGGGTGAGATTAAATAAGTTTTTTTCTTCTCTTCCCACTCCTTTTTGGGCAAATGTGTTGTTGTTATTTCTCTTACAATTTCACTCATGTTATATTTCCCATTGTAAAAGAATGTACACTTATTACTTGCCCAAAATAAACACATTTAAGAGTGATTTGCCCCACATTTGTACATGATCAAAACTCCCCTCTGGCCGCCGAGAGTTCTGAAAAGCGTAACAGCATAAACTCATTGCAGTGAATAATTGGACGGCTGGAAATGCATCAGGTAAAAGAGGAATAAGTGGAGCACGGCGCACTGTTTTTATGCCTTTATGTGAGACCCAGGGAGAATAATAGAAGAGTCCATGCATGAAAATACTGAAACTTTTCAAACTGTGGTGAGCATCTTCTCACTGTTCCACATGGAGACTCAGCTCACACCGAGAGAAGTTCATTAACTCCTCTCCTCACCTTTCCTCGGTGCAGCTCTGGTCCTCTCCCTCTTCCACTGCTACACTATCCCTTCTCCTCTCCTCCCTCCTCCTCTCCTCTCCTTGCTTCTCTCCACCTCTTCCTCCTCCTCCTCCTCTCTGTCCCCTCCCCTTATCTCTTCTCCTCTCTCTGCTCGTCTCTTGTCACTGCAGCACAGTTTCCTTCTCGGCCTCTTGTCTCCTCTCCTCTCTCCTTTCCCCTTTCCTCTCCTCTCTCCTCTCCCCCTCCTTACCTCCACTCTCCTTTCCTCTCCCTCCTTCTCTCTTCCCCTCTCTCTGCTCGTCTCTTGTCTCTGGGACACAGTGAAGCTGGAAACGTTTCCTTTTCAGCCTCCTGTCTCTCCTCTCTCTTTCTCTCTCATTTACTCTCTCTCTCTCCTTTCTGCTTCCTCTCTCTTCTTTCCTCTCCTCCTCTCTCCTTTCCTCTCCCTCCTCCTCTCTTCCCCTCATTCTGCTCGTCTCTTGTCTCTGGGACACAATGAAGCTGGAGTAGTTTCCTCCTCGGCCTCCTGTCTCCTCTCTACCTTGTTCTCTCCTCTCCTCCTCTCTCCCTCCCCCTCCTCCTCTCTTGTTTCCTCTCCCTCTCCCCCTCTTCCTCCCTCCTCTCCTCCTCTCTTCTTTGCTCTCCCTCCTTCTCTCTCTGCTCGTCTCTTGTCTCTGGGACACAATAAAGCTGGAGTAGAGTTTCTTCCTCGGCCTCCTGTCTCCTCTCTCCCTTGCTCTCTCCTCTCTGGTTTCCTCTCTCCTCTTTCCTCTCCTCCTCTCTCCTTTCCTCTCGCACCTCCTCTCTTCCCCTCATTCTGCTCGACTCGTGTCTCTGGGACACAATGAAGCTGGAGTAGAGTTTCCTCCTCGGCCTCCTGTCTCCTCTCTCCCTCCTCTCCTCCTCTCATTTCCTCTCCCTCTCCACCCCTCTCCCCCTCTTCCTCTGCTCCTCTCCTCCTCTCTCTTCTTTACTCTCCCTCCTCCTCTCCTCCTCTCTTCGCTCGTCTCTGGGACACAATGAAGCTAGAGTACAGTTTCCTCTTCTGCTCCCTGTCTCCTCTCCTCTCTCCCTTCTCCTCTCTTCCTCTCTTTTCTCCCTCTTCCTCTCCTCCTCTCTCTGCTCATCACAAAGAAACTGGAGTAGAGTTTCCTCCTCGCTCTCCCGTCTCCTCGCTCCTCTCTCCCTCCTCTCCTCCTCTCTTCTTTACTCTCCCTCCTCCTCTCCTCCTCTCTCTGCTCGTCTCTGGTCTGTGGGACACAATGAAGCTGGAGTAGAGTTTCCTCCTCAGTCTCCCGTCTGAGTCTTTGTGAGAGTCTCTTTGTCTCTGATGGTCTGAAGGCCGCAGTATAAAGCGGACAGTGTGCGCTGGGCTTTCACTGGACCTGTCTGCGGACTGAACGTCACAATAAGAGCTGTGAAACGTGACGCCCTACACGGCCCCACAGTCCACAGAAGTGTTCTAAAAAGACGAGGGTCACGCACTCTGACTCTTCAAATGTTTACAGTAAGAAAAAAAGCTTCATAATAAAAATAATGACCCTGGATTGTGTTGGTCTGTACAGACACTGACAAGAGTCTCAGCAGTACAGTGGCCACGATTCATCCAGCCTCACAGTGAGTGAGGAAACCTACTGTCACCACGACTGCTCTGGTGACGTCAACTGTGACAGCCCGGGGTATTTCTGATCTATGTTCTAATGTAGTTTCCTCAGCACAAACAGACCTGGAGTTGTGTTTTGTTTCACTCACACACGTTTAACACACAAACCATATGCATATTTAGGCTGAGTTCTTCTCTCAAAATAAAAAAAACATATATATTCTGTTCCACCTTGTGATGTCATGTGGTAATACAGCAAGTGTGTCTTTAAACACCATAGAAATTCACTAGAATAATTTTGATCATTTCAACTCTGGTACTGTGAGTGATGCAAGTCACCCCACATACAACCTGTTCAGCCTCCTGCCCTCCAGGAGGAGCTACAGGAGCCTCTGTCCCTGCACCGCCAGACTCACTAACAGTACAACAACACAACAACACAACACTAACTTCATCCACCAGGCTGTTAGGATGCTGAACTCTGTCCCCTCTCTACCCAACAGGCGGACAGGAAGCAGGAATCTGTGTCTCCCCAAAGAACACTTGCACTTTTCCATTTATTTGTGAAGAATCCCTCAGTCGTCCAGGTAGAATCCATGTAGGAGAAAATTCAGTTTGTCGACTGGACAAAAATTACTTTGGTTGAAGGCGTTTCGCAGCTCATCCAAGCTGAAGCAGAACTGAAGAAGCAGCTTGGATGAGCTGCGAAACGTCTTCAACTAAATTAACTTTTGTCCAGTCGACAAACTGAATTTTCTCCTACACTTTTCCATTTATTATTATTATTATTATTATTATTATTATTATTATTATTATTATTATTATTATTATTATTATTTATTTATTTAGAAGATTGGGAGTGAGGAACACAGTTTCAGATGTTCATGTTTCATATGAAAATTGAAAATAAACTTTTTGATTTTCGCCAATCTCTACTGAACTAACTGTAAAAGGTATCTGGTAACATAAAAACAACCACTTCATGACATCACAAATTGGAACAGAGCAGGTTGACCTTTGGAGATGTAGACAGACTAATAATAAAGGATTATTCAAATGTGTGAAACAAAATACAGCTCCAGGTCTGTTCTAGAGGAGGTAACAACATTATGAACAGTGTTGGGAAGGTTACTTTAAAATGTATTCCCCTACAGATTACAGATTACATACCCCAAAATGTAGTTTGTAACATAATCTATTAAATTGCTTAAGGTGAGTAATGTAATCTGAATACTTTAGATTACTTGATTTGCTGAGAGACCAGTATATCGTAACATATGAATTTTTGTTTGCTAAAAGACAAGCCCAGACTTTTCTTAACCAGATTAAAAATATTATTGATAGAAGAGGAGGAGACACAGTCCACGCAGCATGATTTAGTCCTGTTAAGTCCTGTTTTAGACCTGGTTTAGACCTGGTTTTAATCCTGGTTTAGTCTTGATTTAGTCCTGGTTTTAGACCTGGTTTAGACCTAGTTTAAACCTGGTTTTAGTCCTGGTTTAGTCCTGGTTTAGACCTGGTTTAGACCTGGTTTTAGACCTGGTTTAGACTTGGTTTAGTGTCCGGCAATGAGTGGAATTACTGAGAAAAAAAACAGGAAAATACCGCCATGTAATCTATTTATTTCAACAAAGTAACTGTAATCCAATTACCACTCATTGAAATTGTAACTGTAACTGAATACAATTACTCATAATTTGTACTCTGATTACGTAACTCTGGTAATCTGTTACTCTCCAACACTGATTATAACATGATTTAAAACTTACAAGAGTCAATTTCATGTAATGGACCTTTGAACCTTACACAGAAAGATGAGTTCTCGCAATATTTCTGAGTTCACAAACTCACATGAATGCATCTGGACCAGCCCTCGCTGTCGAGGTTCAAACATGACCACACCTGTTTGTCAGAGTC